CTGCTCTTTTTCAGGTTTCTGAATGAATCATATAATGCTGCTGTTTTAAAAGTCACATTAATTTCAACAAGCTAATTCCTTGATGCTAGTGCTGCTTTAATTTTCAGGCTTGCACAAAAACCTGAAAAAGTTGGGATGCTTTAAAGAATACTATAGAAAGCAATGTATCACGCAAGGGCAGAACAGTTTCCAAACTGTTCTGAAGCATGCACATTTCTACAATCTAGGTATGAAGAAAAGTGACCAGCACTTTATTTCGCAACTTCAGTTAAATATTCCTTTAAGCTGGGGGGAGGGGAAACGGAAAGAAGAGAAACAAAAGCAAAAAGTGGGAGACAGTTGCAAAATTCTTTTGGAAGCGTTATCAAATATTTAAAGGATTTGACAATTTGACTCCTGTAGAAGGAAATCTGAAAATAGGCAGTGAAAAATGCCTTCCACAAATTAAAACCACCCTCTGATGTTGAAACTTTTTAATTATTATTCAAGTAAGCTCTACACCAGCCTCCCCCCCCAACCTAGTGCCCTTCAGATGAATTGGACCATAACTCTCTTGTTTCTCATTCATTATTACTGCTGGCCACATGGCCAAAGGATTACAAAAAAGTCAGATGACCATTAGAGGGCAAAGAGTTAAAATTTTCTGTATAGTTATCAAATTTATATCACCCCCGCATCAGAAAAGATTCTCAGTGGCTTACATAGATAAGCAAACACAATAACTAGACATAGTAACATCTTAAAAATACAATTAAAATCCCAAATTATAACTCAGGGAAATAACAGAGGGGAGAGTAAATGGGGTGTCTTTATTCGTGACACGAATAGGGGAGCTTTTTAGCAGAGCGCACTGCACTTTTCCTCAGGCACCGCCGGAAGCAAAAGGTATCATGGCTGCCATCTAGCGGCCACCCGGATTTTTACAGACCACGTGGGGTAGCCATGGTTTAGGAAAGTAAAAGCGAATTAAACTCATTTGGCAGCAAAGGCTGCTGTAATGGCCTTAACAGGCAGAAGACTCAAACGGTGTCTCTAATCCGGAATGGCGCTGAGCTGCTACGATGACAGAAAATGTCTAAATATAGCAGAAAAAAGCTACCCCACACCATTTGAGGTCTTCCCCCCCGCCAACAGAAAGTTTTGAAAACTATTATTCGAGATGAAGGTCTGAGTCACCAAATGACTCACTTTTCCCAGGGCTTCGTTTTGTCAATTCACCTTCTTTAAAGGGAGCGGGGCGGCTCTTCCTGTACAGTACAGTATTAGTTACTTTACTGAAAATGAACCGAGCTTCTCCAACGAAACCAAAAGGACACAAGCCCATCCACAACTGATTAGTACAATCCAGGGCAGCTTTCGGTCCCGAGCAGTAATTTCGGATCAGAAAGAAAAAAGTCAAAGCCGTGACTTTCTTACCCTGCTGCCAGCGACGCACGAATTTGGAGATCCGAATTCGACTACTACCCCCTCTTTTTGCTTCGGTCCCCCCAAACTGAGATTAAATATTTTGCAGGTGTGCATAAACCGCCTAACACGAACACTATCCTCGCCTTATTCGACCCCGCCCCAATTACCCCCTCATGAAGCAGAAGGCGCAGGAGAAGAGCACAGTCGGAATCTCACCGAATCCCCGGAGGAGCGCGAAATAAAAGCCCAACGCGTCGCTGGCCTACAACCATCAACCCCACCCTCGCGTAATAAATAACTTCCCTGCTTCGGCCACGCCCCCTCTCTCGCGGCCAATTGGGAGAGAGAGAAGCCGGCTTTCATCATTGCTCCGCCCCCTCCACCAAGGCGTGCCCGTTGCGTTCAGGCTTGCCCACGGCCCGGATCGGGCCGTAGCGAATTTTATGTTTATTTTGAGGTAGGCAGTGAGTCCTTTTCGAAGGGTTACGGCACCCTTTGCAGAGCGGAGGCGGAGGACAGTATTATTTTGCTCGAGATTCATACAATCTTTTTATTTCCCCATATCAACGGGGAGTGAAAGCCTTTTTGCAAATTTTAAAAACTCCTTTCCTGGCCAGCCTCTCTCTCTCTATTTTGTGGGAAGCTTGCGTGGATACTAAAAGGCAGGCTACGAACAAGAGATTACTAACATTACCTCTAAAATAACCACTGTACAAAATATTTAAAAGAAAATAAAAGTCAAGAAAGGGCTTACCCGAGACCCTAGTGCCAGAAGCCAAATATCTTCAGACCTTCCTCTGCAATCTCATTAATAAATCTGAACATGGCTTCTCCTTCAACTTCAGTACTACATGGACAATAACTTTAGCACTTCCATGTGATGCTCCAGTAAAGTTTATTACTTTAACTGAGCAAAATTACATTCAGGTAAGAATAAATCCCATCAACTTCCGGTAACCTCAGTGCTTACTCTTCCCTGTCTGTCTTATCAAATTCAGTCTAATTGAAACCTGCCAGATTTAACCTTTTGTACCAGCTTCTTTCAAGCACTGCAAATAACTGCCTTTCCTCAGTGTGATATTTTCCAGATGTGTGGGACACAAATGTGGATTATACAAATTGTAATCCCATAGGGCTAGAGAGCATGTGGTATGGAGGGCTGTATTCAGTTTCTGAAATGCTTAATTTTCTTTTTTCTAGAAATACCCAGTCATTGAACAGGTTTGTGGCCAACAATTAATCCTGTCTTCTGTTTTTAATTTTTTCCCCTAGAGCTTGCATGTTGTGTTTCTGTACTTCCAATAACCGGATAGCATTCAAGAACCACCGTTAAGCATCCGCTGTAGAAAATGACTATGGAATTCCACACCTTCCTCTTCTGGTAACCACCAACGATTTTGTGTTTTAACTTCACAGTGGACTGCACATTGCACAAGCTATGAGTTCAAACAAGCTAAACCAAAACTGAACTAACCATAGTATGACTTAGTGCACTGCATGAGTCAGTTTCACTTTGATAGTTTAAAAGTGATCTATATGAGAGGTGACAGGCATAACATATGTCATTTTTCCACATAGACCCAGAATGCTTTTGAACAGAAACCGAACAATGCAAAGCCTCATAATAAATCAATACATTTAAAAAGACATGATTGAACATTCTTAATGTGAAGCCCACAGAACACGGCAAACAGCACAGCTAGAGTTTTCTGATCATCTCACAACATCTCAACCAAATACACGGGCATCTCTAGTGGGAACAAGGGGGGGCAAATGTCAACACATGCATGGTGAAATCATCATGAAAATGCAGCATCAGTTATCAGTGCAAGTATGTAACTGCTGTGTTTATGTAATGACATCATGTACATGGTGCCATTATGAAGTCAACATAGTTATCGATGCCACTGACTATGTGGTTTATTTCATTTATCTTCCTATGGTTCTTTCTCACAGGGAGATCACACATATCTGAACTACATAGAAGACACATATCATGCAGGTCATGTCATCATGCAAATGACATGAATTATGTATTTGCATCAGTTCCGTCATGATGTCATGACATAGTGTGTCACTTGCATCATTTGTGTGATGATATCATGTTGCACGTGATGTCACTCTTCTCTCCCTCCTACAGACACCATGGCTTGCAAATTATGTGTGAAACTTCATGGCAGATACAGAGCTATACATGGCCCCTGGAAATTGGGTCTGTTCTGATAGCATGAATAAAAATAAAACTGAAAGAAGATAGTAGTTTGAATGTCATCAGAACGATCCTTTTCCCCTCTTACAGTCAAAATAACTGTAATCAAAAGTATTGATTAGGAAAATGGTGCTCCTATGAGGTCTTGGAAAACCTAGGCAACCTGGCATAGGGAAGTAACATTAGAAGCTACTTGAATGTAGGCAGGAAAGAATTGAAATTTTGCACCCCGGTGCTGGTAACAAGAACTATGAAAAAAGTTTAACATGGAGAAGGATGCTGAAAGAGGGTCCTATAGCCTTTATGTATCAGCACAAAACCTGCTTTTGCATGCAACCCTTGGACTTAACAGAACTTTGGCCAACTCTTTTTCTCTAAGATACATTCCATTACAACCAGTAGACCATCATTATCACAAGACTCTTTGAAAACTCTCAAGCCATCCCACACCTCTGAAATTAAATCCAGTGACTCAATCAGCATGATCTTTCCTAAACCACCAAAGCTTGAACAGTTGCTCAAGAAGCTGAAAAAGCCAATGTGTCAAGTGCTATGTTGATCTTAATCCACAACTTAGTTTGCTATTCTATTCATATTTGAAATGTCCCACAGATATAGGAGGGTGTGATTAGAATGCTAATAAATTTATTTTAAATATATAGCACTGAAGCCAAGAAGAGATTCTTCCAATAAATGTATTCAGGATAGGGATATAATATTAGAGTTACACAGAAGGAAATCTCACAGAGTTCAATCGACTTTCTCTCAGATGAATAATAAAATACTGCAACTTAAATGTGTTCCTCTTAATTATTTTAAACTAAAATGCATATACTGTATAGTCTTATTGTGGATTTAGACAGTCATATCATGAAACAAATAGTACAATCAATATCTAGGACATTTTAAGTAATTGTGAATACCTCAACCCCCATTGGCCATGCAGTCTATCTGGAAGGCACCCTGCTGTCGAAATCTGAGGAAGACCCTTTGACCTCATTTAGTACATTACTTCTAAGAGTCAAAGAAAAATGAAGGATTGGGAATGAACGGTACTCAATATTTTTTTCTTGGCTTTGGGACAACTGATTTTGCAAATCGCCCTGAACATTTCGTTGAAGAACAGTATACAAATCCGAGGAAAGAAAGGAGAACGGAGAGTTCTGTTCTGGTAGGATTTTGCCCTAAAGCATTAAGTAGTAAGGCACAAAGCGGAGCAGCTGCTCACTCAGCGACTCATCAGTCGCATTCGAGGCCAACCCAACCGAGCCCGGCCGTGCCCCGGCCCTGGAGCGCGGGCGCCCTCCCTCGCCTCCTGGCTCGAGACTAACCACGCCCTCTTTTGTTCGCCTGGCAGGGCCGAGAGAACGTCCCCCGCACTTACGTCCCTCGGGAAAACCCCAGGAACGAAGGGCGCGCCCAGCAGCGCGAGGAAACGCCCAGGCTACACGCGGCAGAGCTAAGCAGCTCTTGAGCGTCCTGAACAGGACCGTCATCTTCCCTCCAGCAGCCTCGACTTCCTTTTTCCTTTTAATGCCCCCTTTTCTCTGCAGAAGGTCGGTTCAGTTCACAGCGGGGCCAGCGGCTTTGTCCGCAGTCAGTCAGCCGCCGCGTCTCCACGGGTCGCATTTCCCCAACCCAGGAGCCCAGCTCGCCAGGCCATACTTACTGCGCACGGATTTCTTGGAAAAGGAAGCTGGTAATAAACGTCAATCGACAACTTCCTACTATCTGGTTTCCATGCAACGGGCGATGTTTAGACTCAACGCTCTTCGGTGCTGCCAAATGCCAAGGGAAACCTCCCTTAAGTCGGAACACGTCAGGGACGGCTAATTAAAGCCCCACTTAGTGGTCTGACGACATCTGGAGACTGCATTCTTTTTATTAACCATTGTGCGTCCCGAACTTGAATACTGAATTTAGTAGAGACAGACGTGCGTGATGATAATTCCATTGCAAAAAGGAGAGTTATAACATTATTGAAGCAGCTTTCCTCCCACCACCTCCGCGAATGTCAATCAAACCCACCTAAACGGACAGGAAACATGTTTAAAATGGGGGGGGGTCTGCAATGGAGACAGCTACGGGACCCCCTTTTGCCCGCTCCCCCCTCCCCGTTTCATAACAAGTCTGATTGGTTTCAGAGCAACGATACAAGATGTGATTGGCTGTTACGACCATGCAGAAAATTGTCCCGCCGCCTGCCTGCACCGTGGCTTGTTTTTATCTGGAGGTGGGCTTGCCGGGCCCAATTTAGACTGCTATTCTGTTCATTTGCCGTTTCTTCGTTTTTGTCGAAAGACCATACTCACGATTTCAGAACGGTCAGCCGGTTTAGCCCTTTGCAGCAAAACCAGGAAATCTTGTGGCTCTGGTTTGTCAAATGTACACTTGCATGCCCCATGGCGGTTTGTAGTACAACAGTAAATATCGTTAAACAACAAAAGTTACATCAGTTAAAACAACAGGCAGGAAATAATTGCAATGTTGACAAAACAATGCTGATATGAACTACTTCTGTAACAGCTCACCTGATTTGTCTATTGCAACAGACAAACCGCTTATCAAACAGTGAATGTAAGAGAAAATGTCTGGATATATCGATTAAAAGCAGCATAATACATTTGACTGCAAAAAAAATATTTACCCATAAAACAGAGATATAGCTAGCTATATTTATATTGCTATAGCATTTGTAACTACTGCATTCTTCTACCCTGCTTCAGAGCACTAAAGAAGACAGTAACCAAAACATTTTGCCTTTAAATGTTTACATATTTTTGTCACTAATAGTTTAAGTGATGTAGGTACTCTTCTAAGATTTACACTAAATTTCACATGTAGAGGGAAGTGTTCTGAATGGATTTTGGCAAAGCATTCTTGCTTTGATTTTATAACAAACTCTAAGAAGCTTCACTAAAATGTTGTTATAGAAAAAGGAGGAAATATAAATTATTAAAAAAGGAAACAAAATCTCTATATAGGTTTTATATGAAACAAAATAATTGCATTGTAGAAAGAAGGGCTATAACATTTAAGAGGGGGAGACTAAGGGGGTTAGAAAGGCAACAGTGCTAAGGTGGCTTTTATTGATTAAATCTGATACAGAGCACTACTCTGAAGTAAGCTTCCTCCCACCATCTCCTTAACTCACCTCTCTCTTTCTCATTCCAGGATTATTACATATTCATGCTAACTTAATCTGTGCTTATCTGTGCATGCTGGCTGGGGAATTCTGGGAGTTGAAGTCCACACATCTTAAAGTTGTGAAGGTTGAGAAACACTGCTGTAGATATCAAAGAGTGCCTGGAAATGTTTTCTAGTTGGGAGAAGCTCAGCAAAAAATGGAAGTTAAACATAGTTTATTTCATCCCCCTTCTACTAACTGGCCCATAAGATAACTGCGAAGTATTAGAGCATGATACTTGTTCATACCACTGTATGACTATTAATTTGCTGAGTGTAGTTTCAAACTTGCCAGTGGAATGTCAGCTTTGACCACAGCATTTAGCTAAGGCCATGCTTCATTCACAGTAAAAGAGCAACACGTATTCCCCTTGTTACTAGTCCATTATGGATTTCTAGAACAGCAACGATCCTCTCAGTTCAATGAGTGGCATTCCATTCTTCTAGCATATCTAAAGATTTCCCTGTGTTACGATTAGTATGTTGCAAAATGCTACTGCAGAACCAGGGAGCATGGTTTGAATAGTTGTGGATGCACTCAACACTTTTGAGGGTGGTCTCTTGACTTTTGGCTACACTTTGGACTCAAAGCACAAGCAGCTAAGGAGACCTTGTCAGAATATTCTGTCTCTCCTACTTCTATTGATTACAAAATATTTACATAAGATAAGCATTGAAAACTTACCTAATGCCAAAACAAGTTGGAATTTTTTCCAGGGCTCTTCAATCTTTTGAAAAATTGATAAAATAAAAGGTTGCATTCTACTAAAAATGCAAGCGGGTCAGAGGTTTCCTGCATTTAAGGTGCTGATTTTAAAAACTCGATAAAAATACAATTTTATTATGGTTTTTGTTATTACAAAAGTGCTCAAAAATAGGGTTTGCTTCAAAATATTCAGATTTTCAGAATCTGACAGATATTTTGAATCTGACAGATATTCAATAAAGTCAAAACCTAGGGTTACCAGAGGTTAATGCAATCAAATGGAGGGTCTTATTAATTATTAAATTTAGGGCTTTGCAGCCTTTCTTGATAGGATTAGGTAACATGGCATTTCCTGTAGGATTCATGACCTGGTGATGTCTGCATCACATAGGTTTTCAATGTTACTATGATGACATCACTAATTAAAACTACTGATACCCCCCCCCCAAATTAGTATGCACTATAACTATTTGTGCAGATGAATACGAACAGTTTTAAGACCCATTTAGGCCTTTAATGCTTATAAGGGTCTGTATGATACACGGGTCCTCTTTTGACCATAATCATTAGCAGGAAGTTTGAATCATAAGACATGGTGGCATAACTGGTACGGAGACATGTAGGATTTTTAAAAAATCTGCATTAACATTTAAATATCTATATTAAAACAATTATTTTAAAATTATCTTGTTAATCAGGAGCATCTTTTAAATTGATCATAAGTTTTTAAAAGGATTAAGCCAACTATAGGCCTACCAGGAGCCTGGAAAAGACTGGGCTGGTCCATAATTTTGAAATTCTTAAAGCTTTCAGGAAGAGGAGGAACTTCAAAGTCAAGGTGATTTTTTGGGGCTTTTCTCCATGGAGTAGTATAGGCACTTGCCTAGTGCAGCATGGAGCAGAAGCCAGATGGACAATGGCAATGCTGAAAAGCCAAGAGGGTGGGTTATACCTCTGACTCAGTGGGGTTTGGCTCTGGTCTACAGTTTCTAGGAAGATATTTTTATTTTTTTGTATACATTTTATTAAAAGTTTTACAGAGAATATAAAAACTAACACTAATACAGTATAAAGAAAACAAAGAAAGAAAAGCTTCCGATTTCCTTTGGAGCAAATACAAGTATGATTACAAAGTTATCTCTGACTCTGTGATTACAAAAAAAGCTCACTTTTTAAAATTATCTAATTTTTTTATAATCAAAACTACAAGTCATAAGTGCATTTTTTCCTATTTCATGCAGAAAGTCTATAAGGGGTTTCCAGTCAGACATAAATGTAAATATTGTCTTTTCTCTAATTAAGAAAATCAACTTAGCCATCTCTGCAAGCTCTATCATCTTCATCAACCATTCCAATATTGTGGGTAATGTGAAGCCTATCCACTTTTGAGCATATACAGTTGTCAAATATAAAAACAAAGTTCCATGCCTTTATTCTAGCTGAATAGCCTCTGAAGAAAAGCCTCTGGTTTCAATTGTACATTAATTTTTGAAATCTTCTGAATTAGTGTATTTATTTGTATTCAAAATTTGTTGGCTTTTGTACAAGTCCACCATACATGATAAAATGTCCCTTCATGTTGTTCACATTTCCAGCATAAATTTGAAGTGCCTTTATACATTCTAGACAGTTTCTCTGGTGACAAATACCAACAGTACATCATTTTATAAAAACTTAAGACTAGAATATAATGTAAATTTCAATCCTTTCAACCACATATTTTCCCACTGATCCATTTGTATATTGTAACCAAATTTTAGCCCATTTTATCATACATTCTTTCACTTGTTCTTCGTCTCATATTTCAACAAAAGTTTATACATTTTAGCAATAACATGCTCATCATTTGTACATAATTCTATTTCAAACTCAGTATTACATTGTTCAAAACCATAAAACCTTTAATCCACTTTAACCCTTTCTGATAATTGTACAGAAGAAAACTATTGACAAAGATCCTTCTGTTATCAAGCCTTCTTTTGACTTTATTTTACAGTCCCCTTGAGAAAATTCTAGTATATCACAGTAAGTTAACCATTTATGTTTACTTATCATTTCTTGTCTATAAAATGCTTCTTGTGCTGAGAGCCACAAAGGTGTTTTATTCCATACTCTAAAAATGGCCTGCCTAAGTGATTTTTGAAATCTACATTAACCTTAGCTTTGTCATACCATAGATATCCATGCCACCAAATCTCAGATCCTGTCCTCCTAACTCCAGTAGCCTTCTATTTCTTAGCAACACCCATTCATTCAAACAAACTAAACAGCAGGCAGCAAAGTATAAATTCAAATCTGGTAGACTCAATCCTCCTTTCCTTTGCATCTTGTAATATCTTATATTTAACTCAGGGTTTTTTCTCCTCCACACAAATTTAGATATATCCTTCTGCCATTGTTTAAATGGTACATCAGTTATCAAAACAGGTATTGTCTGAAACAAAATAACATTCTAGGTAAAACATTCAGCTTAATCATAGAAATTCTCCCCAGCAGTGACAATTGTACTTTATCCCATCTTAAATGCAACAATTTTAAAACTTCATTCCACGTCTTAACATAGTTATTTTGAAATAACATACAATTCATAGTTGTCATAGTAATACCCAAGTATTTTACCTTCTTTTCAATCTTAAAACCTGTTTTATTCATCAGTTCTGTTTGATCTTGTATCTTCATATTTTTTGTTAACATCTTCTGTTTGTTAATCTTGAAACTTGAACTTGAAT